TGATGCATGAGGTTTCTGCCGTGTGGTTGTTATTATTGTGATGCACGAGGTTTCTGCCGTGCGGTTGTTGTTATAGGGTTGCACGAGATTTCTGTCGTGCTATTGTTACTATTGATATTTGCACATGCGGCGTGACAAGGTGGGATATATATATGTGTGGGTTGCACATGTGGCGAGACAAGGTGAGAACATTATTATGCACGTGTGGCGAGACAAGGTGAGAACATTATTATGCACGTGTGGCGAGACAAGGCGGACATTTATGTTACTATTACACACGTGGCGAGACAAGGTGGGCTGTATCATGGATTGATTTGTGATAATTTGTGGCCTGGGGGCATTCTTGTTGTTGATATTTACGAAGTGGTATACATACCTATATGAGCTTTATCTTGTGAAAGCTGTGAGAAAATATTCTATGTATTGTCCGTTCTTTTTTCTTATGCTTATTTACTGATATAGACTATGGTAAGACACTTGCACAAGCATACACGTAGTTAAGCACTCTTATCGGATAAGAGGTGTTCTTGATATTGTTGACCATAGATGCTCACCCTTGTTTACTTGTCTTCTATGTGAGAATGGCTCTATTGGCACGTGAGTCGTCAGTGCGGTTATGAGATGTTATAAGGGCACGGGATGCTAAGTGTTAGAGTTCAGGTATTGAGACCCGTGAGTTGTGATTTGTCCGAGGTTCGGTACCTCATGGAGTTGTTGACTAAAACTTGGTGTAAAAGCAATTGTAGTTGCTGAGTTATTACTTGTCCTTGTTGTATTTTTGATATCCGATTTAGGTTGTGTTCCATTCACCTTTCTGTGTCATTTTCATGATATTCCGCTGATACTTGTTATTGCCTTCCTTATTGCCATCACTATACTGTGAGCCATATTGCATAGTCTTCATGTGACATCATATTTCTATTGTTCATGTACTTATATCTGTTCAGTTTATTAGACCAGTGATTTTCTTGACTGTTCCTCGTTACTACTCCACCGATGTTAGTCTTGATACTTACTGGGCACCGCTGTGGTGTGCTCATGCTACTCTTCTACATATTTTTGTGCAGATCCAGATACTTGTTCGTTAGCTAGCTGTGTGAATTGTTGCTGTGGAGACTCAAGGCAAACCTGTTGCTGCGTTCGCAGGCTTCGGAGTCACCTTCAACTTTTTATTTTGCACTGTTTATTCTTATTTCTGGACAGTTGTATTTAGAAGTTTTCTAGCAAATACTCTGTAGAGCTTATGACTTGTACTACCGGTTTTGGGGAATTTTAAGAGATTCTATTTAAATAATGTTGTTTTNNTGATACCCAGACAGAGAAAAAATTGGATCGTGACAGTAATTGACATTCTATTAAATTGTTCATCAAAATCTACTCAAATAGCATAATTTTTCTGTGTTGCTCAACAAAGTGTTCTTCGAAATTGTAATTTTAGTTTTGATCAAACCATCCCAAATCTGTTTCGATCTCAACTTTAAAACAAACCTCTAATACCAACACAAACAATTTTCAATCACCAATTTAGTGAAAAAACAATAAATCAAGAAAATTCACTTTGTCTTTTTTAATATTTTTTAAAGACCAACAATGAATTGTTGAGATTTTTAAAGTAAATCACTAAATTATTATTTGAACTAAAAATTTAAGCATAAATTATCAATTCAAATAATTTTAATAATAATCAATCATTAACTTTCAATTTTTATCCCAAACAAGAATTTCAAGCTTCCAATATTGAAGAACTACGATATTCTTGGTGAAGAAAAAGCATATTTTTGCAAAAAAGTAAAAAATAAAATAATTTTTAAAGATCAATTCCTTACAGGACAACCGGTTAATTTTTTACATTACTTCTCAAGGGAGAAATACTCGAAGATCGAACCTAGAAGTGCATGCAAACCCACACGTACCCTTCTCCTAATTTTCCGTTAACAAAATGATGGGTCCAAACATATATTGAAAGTCATTGGCCTATTGGTGATGTGAATTACCAAATCATTGGACAAATTAACATTGAATTGTTTTTATTGAGACCATTCACTTCCCTTAATATTTTCTGTGTCTGAGATAGAAAATCGGAAATACCACAAAGGCCAAGTTTATTTTCAATTCCATGTATATATATTCCAATCAAAATTCCTAAGAACTTCCTTGCAAATTACTTGAAAGTCATCTTCTTTCTCTCTTTGGCATTGTTCCATCTTTCTTTTTTTCTCTCACAAACATTACATTTAAGTTTGTGAGAGGAAGAAAGAGAAGGTTTCAAGCCTCATTTGCTAATACAAAGACAAGTTAAAAAAGAAAAAAAAAAATATGGGGGCTTGTGCTAGTGTACCAAAGGGAATGAGGGCTGAGGCAATGGCAGCTCCTCCACCGGAGCAACCGAAGGAGGAGAACACCACCTCCGCCACCACCACCACCGCACCTGAGGTGGTGGAGGTGACAGAAGGTAGTGACAATGCCGAGCCAAAGGAGGATGAGAAGGTGGCTGAAGAGAAAGATGCTGACAACAAGCACCAATCTCTAGGATCTTTGCTCGACGAGGTATTTATGATTTTAAATTTTATGTCTAACAATGTAAAAAAAAAAAATTATTTATACAATCGGGTCAATTATAAGTTGAATATAAGTAAATCTCAATCATTAATTGGTGACCCAAAAAATTAAAATGATACCTAGCTAGTTTGCTATCACATCTTAAAATTGAGAAATAGTATAAAAATTGTTAGTGTATGTAACTTAACTTAGGTATTTAAAGGGTTACATAATTATATATGTTACCTTCTAAGTATATGCTGTTGATGGGAAACATGGAAAAAGATCAATGAGTTGGAACAAAATCCTACTAAGATTCAAAGTACTATAATACCCCAATTAAAATGTCCCCTCAACCCTTACCAATTTTTATATTGTACTTTGACAACCAGCACTAAACAAATAAAGCAGAATTCAAAATTTTAAGTTAATGGATGCAAATCAGAATTTTTAGCTTGATGTGTTTAACCTGGTAAATTATGAGTTCAAGATTTAATAATTGTTATAAAATTTTAAGGGATTGTTTGGTGTGCTAGATAAAGTGAGATAAGGTGTGGTATTGAATTTATACTATGTTTGGTTGATAGTATAAATTTATTTCGGAATAAATTTATACCGTCAACTAAACATAGTATAAACTTAGTCCCAGACTTAATCTCGGATATCCCATCTTGTCCCACCTTATTCCATCAAACTTGATATTATTTTATCCCACCTCTCAGGTGGGATAAATAATTAGTCTAAAAATTATAATTCCAGGACTATAACCCATGATAATTTAGTACGCGTACCAACCGAGCTTAGTAGATTTTCATATATACACTTATACTACGTGTCAAAAATATTGGCTTAGGTTTAAGTGGATGAGACTCATCTCCGTTTTCTATTTTCTCCATTTTCGCAAGTTCCTACTTGGATGGAAGCCACATGGCATAGTTAAGAATTAAAGGTTGAGATTTAATTAACAAAAGTAATGCTCTAACTATGGTTAGGATAATTAATTCCTTCCATATATTTGCTCCAAATACTTTTTAACAATCCCATAATTCTAGCTACACATTATCTCTTACCTAAAAGCTTTTCTCTTTTCTGGCGTAAACCTTTTTCAATGCGTCATTCTTTTTGCTACTTTCTACGAAATCTTCTTATATTCCCATTCAAAGTTGAGAACCATTAGCAGTCCAACCAATGATGAATTTTTTTTAAAACCGTATAAAATATATTTGCCGGATAAAAAATTAAAAGCATTTGTATGATATTAAAATTATGTACATGACAAAGAATTATTCCAAATTAGCAGTGTCAAGAAAAGGTATCAACACATATAATCTCGAATTTTGAAGTCTTATATTTGTCTTGTCCTTCTCCTTGTATAGGCAGTGGAGGTTAAAAGGAAGGGTAACCAAAGTTCAGAAAACTGGGGGAAAAAAAATTATTGGAAACTTAAGAAATTGATAAGGAAATTCTAATTATCCTATATGAAAGGAATTAATTATTCTAACTATGGTTGGGGTCTTGCTTTAGTTAATTAAGCTTCCGACCAAGTACAAATGAAGAGAATAGAAAATGGAGAGGAGTCTCAATTGTAGTCTGAACACTACATCCGCTTTCATAACAGTAGGCGTTGAACTTAATATAAATATACATTTTCTAAAGTATACATATATGGTTCAATCTTAGAGTAACTGCTGCAGTAGTTATTATTTGTTCAACTACTGCATCTACCTCCCACACGGCTCTCAATATCTACATGTATAAGAATAAGAGACCCATCTCCACATAAGATGACAACCGATAAACAGTATAAAGCAAGCATGAGCCAGAATTTAAAGTTTATGGTTTCTAAACTTGTCACTGAACTCATAGCTTGTCTTAATTATTTCTGGTTATATATTTTTGATGGATTTCCTAAGAGTAAAAGCTACTGGGTTCGTCCGAACCCCTACCTAATACTCTAGTTCCACCCCGAAACTGAAAGCAAGAGTTTTTTGATTTTATATCTACGCTATATGATTGATTACTTTGAAACATGAATGTAACAGAGCGAAGCAGCCAAGGAGTCAGATAAAGATGAGAAGAGCTCAGACACTAATGCTGAAACCAAAGAATCAAAGGATGAGGAGCTTCCAATATCAGATGCAGCTGTTGCACAAGCCTCTTCTTAATAAAATGCCTACATTATTTGTTGGTTCTTCAGAGGCAAGCTCAAATGTGGTGAAATGGAAAGAAAACTTATAGGAACTTTACATGTTTTTTTGGTGGATATATGTTTAGAAATATCTATATTTTCCATGGGATATTTCATATTGTTGGAGTTCTCTTCTTCTTATGTTGAATGCTTTTGTTAGTCTTTCCAATCACTCGCACAGTACATTTAAGTCGCCAACTATCTTTTCTCTCACCATTCATCTGTAGTTTTCCATACACTTATAGCTACTCTTATCTGGTTGTAACATGTTATATACCATATTTTTCAAATTACCAATTAATGATTACTATAATTGGGGGAATTTCCAATTTCCCCATATTTGGTTGACTTTTAATATTTTTCAATATTCTTGAAAAAAAAAAAGAAGTAAAACTGAGTAGTTAAGATATAGAGAACTCTAGCCAGATGTGGCTCCACTATGACCAACAGTTCTCAAGAAGGAAATGCAAAGTTTCAATCAAGCATCACATAGCAAAAAGAGGAGTGATTAGCAAGGTGAAAAGAAAAACTACATCAAAAGAGCAACCATCAATTTAGATACTAGCATCCCTCTATGTGATAAAAACCAAAAAATGTCATCTCAGACAAATTTGCTTATAATTCAAATATTGCAGGCAGCATATGGTACATGCTATAAAGCCTCTGATACTTCAGCCACCCTTTGACAACTTTAATGAGATATAAGCAGAGATCCAAGGATTTCCGAAATTCTTCCAAATACCAGGTGCAAAGGTAGAAATGAGGAACACAATTAAAGTAGTAACGATTTCATGTACCAAACATCCCAACAAAGTGCCAACAGGATAAATTAACTACCACACCATACAAGTTACGACTTTGCGTCTTATACACCAAAAGAAAGCAAACAGGAAGCAAGAGACAAAAGGTACGTTGTAAGGGTAACAGGCAAGGGCATAGAAAGAAAATTACAGACTGCGTATGGCGCCTTGCTAAAACATATGCTGATAGATTATTCAGTCTGAAGACTTGTTTCACAGCGCTTGAGCTGAAGCTCCATGCGCTCATTCTCAAGTATCATAGCTTTATTTTCCAGCTTCAGTTCTTGTAGCTCCCTGTCTTCTCTCCGCCGGAACCTCAGGCACTTGACTCTCTGCTTCTCCAGTTCCAGAATTTGGGCCTGAATTTGTAACTTCTGTTCTTCCAACTGCAGTAACCGATACATAATCTGCTGCTCCTGCAATTTTTCTGCCTCTTCATTGTTAGTAGAATCATGAATCCCACTGCTGTTAGGATTAAGCACATTACAATCTGAATTAATGAATGCACAGACCACATTGGAAACTCTTTCTTCCCCGGCTATCTTTCTCTTTGCAGGCATATCCTGCACAACATACTCAGGCTCATACCTGTCCTTACGTTTGAGAGCCAACAGTACGGATCGCTGGAGTTCCCGATCATCTGGAAGGAATAATCTATTTTGGTTGTTGTATGAGCACATTTCTTGATAGAATAACTGTTTGCTACTTAACAGCTTCTTCACTTCCTCCTGCACATCATGAGTCAGGCCCATCATTTCCATAAGGCCGGGGTTCTCCACAACACAACATGCAGTGCCTCTCCCAAGAATATCATTCAGTCTCTTGAACTTTTTGTTCAGATCATTAAACTTATCCTCACACTGCTGAGGTGAGACATGATGACCACTTTCAGCCATAGCATTGGAAATAGCCCTCCATTTACCTTTCTTTGGGAATATCCCATTGGACCAAACATCTTCTCCGATGTAAGAAACAGCAGTGATCAAAAGCTTAACCATCTCATCTGTCCATTTCATACGACTGTATACAACAGGCTGTTTCTCTTTATTCATCTTCCATCTTGTACGCCGATACACAACTGGCTGTTTCTCTTCACGACGTACAGTGACTTCTCCTACATCATCTGACCTCTCATTATAAGCTTCATACACATTAAGTCTACTGGTTTCAATAGCATCTAGAGACAACACTTGTTGGTTCATGTCATGCATGTTGCTAAAACCAAAGGATGCGGCACCTTCCAGAGCATGCTGCAAATCCCCTGAACCCTGGTTAGGGGAATTGCTTTGTTGGTGATTAACTTGCATTGAACCGCAAAAATCTAGGATATCACAGGATTAATCTGGTACATATGAAGCAAGCTGATGAATGCTATTTCTACATTTAGCAGATTGGCAATCTTAATAACTCACAAACTTACAGATCCAGTACGATTTTGCTCATTCAATTAAGAGGAGACAGAAAAGATACAAAATAGATTCTATGACTAGATTCTGCAGAGATAAAGGGCAAAACTAAGGCAGAGAGTCATGCAATACAGTTGAGTATAAATTTTTTACTCCTATGATCATCTATAAAGCAGAATTAACAGTTACATTGGTGCAAACGATTATCAATAGAACACAACCTAACAATGATATAAATAACAAGAAAGGAAAAGAATTGATTCAGTCACATTTTACCAAATGCAGATGCAATAAAGAAATAGATTTACCATAGAATAAATGAGATCAGTTGCAACATAAATCAAATGTTTTTTTACCCCTACAAAACAAGTTCTTGTTTACTTCTACAGAAGAGGCTTATAAATTTAGTGAGTACTTCGAGGGTGCTTCGTGAAACACATTGTTTTAATCGCCCAAGAAAGAATAGAACTTACAACAGATGTGAGATCTGCTAACAAGTGCCGTCGCTTTTGACAAATGGGATGATGGCAGCAGAAACAGGTGGATTTTAGGAGACTTTGCTCGGGGAATTGGGCGGACTAATTCCCGGATAAGTTAGGTTAGAAGTTGAAATAGGCAGCATACTTATTGTTTTATACACATAGGTATCTCGGACTAATTTGTATATGTATTCAAAACAATGTCACATGGAAAGTGAGGTGTTCTGGGAAATTTTCTTAAAACTAATTAAGGAAAATATTTAATCCTTAATTCCCTTCCTCCCTCCAGTTTTTTTCCAAGAAAAATGGGGATTCAGATAACTTCTGATTAAGTTCTATAAGAATAAGGATCAAACAAAATACTTACAAGTTTTAACACAAATCACAACCAGTGGATAAAAGTTGCATTTGATTTAATTTACCCATAAGACAAAAAAAAGTTGCGGTAATTCTTTTTATAACTGCGAAATCCCCGAGGGCCAGCTGGCGCACAGTTCGAAACTCGGTAGATAATGGGCCTTCCCCTCTAGCCTTCTCCACAAAGAAATTGTGGTAATTCAGCACAGATAATATCATCTCAGATTATATGACCTAATTGACAAAAAGGCTTGGTCAGAATAAGAGAGAAAATACAAACAATCAGCTTATACCAAGCTTCCGAATGTAACTTTCACTCTTTGCAAGAACAATCAAGTAGACAGCTTGAAAAAAAAAAGTAGACAGCTTGAAAAATAAGTAAATAACGGCTCATTTCTGATGTGGTAACCTAGTTATTCTCTCTTTCCTTTTTCTTTTCCTATTTATTTCTTTAGACTATATTCATGTCACATTTCTTTCCTTTCCTCTTGTTTCCTCTTTTCACCTTTCTTGGTTAATTCAATTTTGTAAGAATAGGGCGAAGAAGTCCTCAAACAAAGATGAACAAGTAAAGTCTTGGAGAAACAAAATCTAGATACCGAAGAAAAAGGGAGACACTCTCTGAAACTTTTCATTTTTCTTGTCGATTATTTCCTGCTATTATCATCCTAGAGATGATCGTCTTGGAATTAAGCTTGTTAATTATAGGATATTAAATATGCACCACTACCCTCCCCACTAGTGGGTTGCTCTAGTGGTGTGCACCCTCCACTTCCAACCAAGAGCTTGTGAGTTCGAGTCACCCCAAGAGCAAGATGGGGAGTTCTTGGACGGAGGGAGCCGAGGGTCTATCGGAAACAGCCTCTCTATCCAAGGGTAGGGGTAAGGTCTGCGTACACACTATCCTCCCCAGACCCCACTAGTGGGATTATAGTGGGTGGTTGTTGTTGTTGTTGTAAAATGGAGTTCCTTATCAAAATTTTAAATTAGTTTATAGTTTGTATTTTCCCGTTGTCATCTCTCTCTCCCTCCCTCTCCTCCATTTTCTTCAAGTTGAGGAGTGTTTCTTGAAAGATTAATTGAAGAGTATAAGGTCAGACGGGATGAACACAAATGGTCCTATGGGCAGTACACAGAGTAAGAAGAGGACAGAGTAAAGATTATGAGCTTGGGAGAGTATTTAAGAAGATGGACAATTGTTCAAACAGTAGTAACCACAAACTAAGTGGGCGTTTGGACATAAGAATTGTAAAATTCCAATATAGGGGGAAAAAAAATTTCAAGTAAAAATGGTATTTGAAATTTAGAGTTGTGTTTGGACATGAATATAATTTTGGGTTGTTTTTGAAGTTTTGTAAGTGATTTGAGTGAAAATTTTGAAAAACAGTTTTTGGAGTTTTTCAAATTTTCGAAAATTTCCAAAAAGTATCTTCAAGTTCAAGTGAAAATTGGAAATTTTATGAACAAACGCTTATTTCGAAAAAAAGTGATTTTTTGGAAAAAAGAAAAAAATTTCTTATGTCCAAACGGGCTCTTAGAATACCGCTTTTTGGTTACATGGAGGAACTCGGAATTACAAGCCAATACCTGGGGAAAAAAAATCTTTTTCTGGCTGAAAACTTCTCTTGTAACTTTATGTTTTTCTGCAGACCCTGAACCAATGACCGATACCTATTCATACAAAGACTACAAGAAAGACAGTCAGCCAGATAAGTGATATCATTTAATTTTCATACAGCTGGATCAAGTCACTTAAATAGTTAATCCATCCAGAAGAAAATTCACATTCCTTATTCATCTTTTCAGAAAGTTTATTTGCCAAGCTTTATTCAAAAGTTCGTATGACCTTTAATTTCACAATGAATACAGTTTTTTTCTTTTTTTGGCTCAACTAGAGAATCTAAATAATGAAAACAAGTTTTCTTTTTTGTCTTCACTAGCCATCTAAATAGCTCAATGGAGTATTTGCTCAGTCTTTTATTTGCTCTACAGCTCTTGTTGTAATTGTATTTATATAATATTCATGTGTAAACTGCAAGTTTATCATCACATGCTCGTTTCCAATTATGCAAAGTTACCCAAGGGGATCTTTTATTTCCATGAAATTACTTCATGGATGAAGGATTGAATTGCATACTCTAGATCCAGAGATGTAAGGTGATTTCACATTTAAAATAGGCTACATAAATGCATTAGAATTTTTTTTTGCTTCTTTTATCTAATCCTGCTTATGGTACTTTAATAATGAGAGCTTTCGATTTTTTGGGATAGTTACAAGATCATTTTCTTGTCAACATTAAGTGGGGAAAATTGACAAGAGTATAAAGAGTCAAAACTGACGAATATTGTACTTCGGTTGGGCACCTATATAAACTACAAAGCATGAGCTTCTTTTAGCTTCTTTTATCTCTCTTAAATCTGCCAAAGAGTTGTTTTCAGTGGTTCTATTATCTTCTAGTTGAATGATAACCTAGGATGTATAATTTATAGCATTTGCAGCAAAGTGGACTTCACTTTGAATTTGGACCAAACTGAAAGGTCGACATTCAATTTTGGGATGGAAAGTGTACATTCTTCTCGTGTTGGTGCTGTATTTTCAGTTTAACAAATGCCTACTAAGATCCGCTCAAGGTTATCCTTTCTGATTCAGTCAATAGCAGATCCTTCTTTCTTGCTAACAGGGCAAAGATGTCATTATCACAGTTTATCAACATTTCCTCAAAAATTGGAATTCACAGGCAAAATTTACAGCACACTTGCTTAGAAATAGAATTAGATCATCCTGATCAGAAATAGCATCAGGTCATAGTCTAATTGTCTTTTGGTAAGAAGGAAAGAAACAAAAGATAACAGTTTCTGTTAAGAGGGAAAGAAATGTAAAGTATTTAATATTTTGTTAATGAAAAACCAAGTTTCCATAGAAGAGCTCCAAATCAAAACTTTGCAATCTTGCAATTTGCAGAGCCATGTAAGAATGACCATTCATGACATTATCTTCATTAATATGCAGGGACACAATTCACTACTGCAAGATGGTGCAACAACAACAACAACAACATACCCAGTATTATCCCACATCGTGGGATCTGGGGAGGGTAGTGTGTACGTAGACCTTACCCCTACCTTGTGAGGATAGGGAGGCTACTGCAAGATGGTGCGTGGAGATATATTTGCTAATAGGTAAGTCATCAGTGTAAGTCAAAATTTTCCCATTATCTCCCCAAAACTTGCTCCAAAGATATCTTTCCATTATTCCAGTAAACAATATTAAGTACCCCAGAGTTACTCCGAAGAACATATTATGTGTTAGCAGACCAACTAGATGAAATATAACTAGAAAGACAGGTGGATAAAAAGAATCAAACACAAATAATATAATTATCATGCATCATGACCTTAGACATTTCAACTAACAAAAGAAGTGTGAAGCACCACATCTATTCAATCCAAGATGGCGCACAAAACTATTATTATAGCACATCTTATGTGAAACTCATCAGGCCACCATAAACAATTAATAGACAAATAAAGGGATGAGAAAATCAAGTAGGTACATGTACCTGGAACAAAAATAGCAAAATGTCAGCTAATATACACTTGGATTGAGCATCCATTTCTTGTTGTTTTATCTCCAATTCCAGACAATTAATTCTCAAGCATCATGCACTCTTTTTCCTTTCTCAACTTCTGCAGATCCTTGTCCTTGATGTGGTTGACCTTTTTTACCACTCAAGTTGCTTCTTTCTAGTTCTAACATCAAACTCTGAAGTTATAGAGCTTCTTCCAGCCAAGTTGAGCTACCTATGACCCAGCAATTCTCTAGCCTTCTCTCCCTCCCCAGTGCCAGCAAGAACTTGATTTACATCTAGAAGGCAATGAGCATTTTCTCTCCACTACGAGTCAGGAGTTTCGAGGAACGAGGACCCAGGAATTCAAGTTCTTCCTCGTAATTCTTCCTCTGTCAGGATCCCATGACGTATTAAGACTTTATCAAGTGTATAATCATCTCTGCTGTCATTGCTTTGACCTTCCATGCCAGCATCTCTCGAAGTTGTGAGGCTTAGAAGACCTGACTACAGGAAGCTCGGAGCATCAGAATCATTGTCAGTGTTATAAACCAACCACAAGGATCATTGAAGATATTAATAAAGGAAGGTAAAATCCGATTCAGAAATCTAACAACAACGAACCCAGTGTATTCCCATAAATGGGGTCTGGGGATTCAGAAATCTAAAATGGTAAAACAAATGTTCCACGCTAAAAGTTTTCCTAACATCGTCCTCGGCATTATCAGAAACATCCACCAAATCTACAAGAGGTGGATGGTCAACAACCTAAAAATAAGTACCTCGCCACAGTATATCACCAAGTCTTACATCTTTTACAATCTTTCTCAGGCATTGGAGTATGTGATAGCCTTCCACTTCTTCTTCTGCTTTGTTCCGATACTGCTGAAGATGGAAGAAGCATCCTCTCCAATGTATGAAACAGCGGCAAATAAAAGTTCACCATCTTATCTTTCCAGCTTACCCACTGCCATGGTGACTCCTTTAAATCTCTCCCACCTACAATATGCCCATGGACACTTTTTCCTAACCTGCTAGTTTTTCATCATCACCAGCAGAATCTTTAACTGTTTCCACCTTTGTTGCGAGCAAGAACAGAATCCAGAAGGTCCAATTCTGTTTGACCCAATTGCAAGGTATGGTATGGAAGGGATTCAATGATGGCCTTGGAGTCTCCCACCTCAAATATCTAGCTTCTTTCCTGCTGCTACACCTATAATGACTAATATTTTGGACTTCCTCCGAAGGGTAAAGCACCATTGAAGAGTAAAAATGTCTGTTTTCCAGGTGACTGACTTGCAATGATCCTTGTATGCCTACAAAACCACAAGATAGTCACAGCTGGTTGATTATATTCCAGCAGCTATTAATCACAGAAATAACTTGAAACCAAAAATCCAATGAATATCTGCATACTGCCCCCAAACCTTTCAATCAATTACACGTCAATTCCAAATTAATTGGGGGCAGCTATACAAATCCTATGTATCCGGTGCGATATTCAATAATTTGTCTTAAGATAATTTAGGGTTCTCTGAAACTAGTACCATATCTCACACTTCCGTACAAGGATATACAAGTCTCCAACCGAGATAAAAAAAGGTCTTGGGCAAACACAGGATGCATATACAAATCTTCAACCAAGATAAAAAAGGTCTTGGATAAACACAGGATGCAAGGTAAGTATAACAACAGAAGATAAACTTTAATCCCAACTAGTTGGTATCGCCTATGTGGATCATCCAAACAACAAAAGAAAAAATTCAACGCAATGCATTCGTCAAAAAGCTATTGAATGCCTTAAAAAGAAGAAGCAACACTAAGGCAGCAAGCACTCAACAAGTCCACGAATTTCTGATTTTACAGGCTTCAAGTGAGTATTAATATTAAGAAAATATGTTTGAACCTTCCCTGCTTTTAGAGTGCAAATGATGCCATAATTGCGATAATTAGCAGCAGAATAACCAAACATTGTTGTCTATAGAAAAGTTCCACAACTCAGTATCAAGATTTTGAATCAAAAACTGAATCTTTTGAATCCAGAAAACTTATTGGAACATGTAAGTCTCGCTGTAGTAAAAAAGGGTAGAGTGACAGGTTATCAAGGCCGTCACAAACTGTCTCGTTTGACAAGTATATGTGAGGTGCTTACCAATAGGTCAAATTAAGGCGGGTATAAACTCAAACTTAGGCCCCTCCACTTTTCTTTTTCTTTTTTTAGATTAAGATAAGATTTCTATCTCTAACGTTAAGATATGGTCTTCAAACCTAGATCATCTTCAAATCATGTCATATGCCCATATACAAATCTTCTTTATTTTTAATTTTCACTTAAATGCAACAACAACACATCGATGACAATAATAAAAACAGCTACAATGAAAACTGCCCTCTCCTCTTCGTTGCATCTCAAATTACTAGCTTCATCTGTCTCTATACCCTCCTTCCCTCCCACACCCTCAAGTTTATTTCATCTTTGTGGACTCTACAATGAGGATTTAACATGTTTGCAATAATTAGACTCTAAACTGCTAAGATCAAATTATAGAAACACAAACCCAAACTGATTATGGCATTATTCCCACTATCAATTATCCTTCTCTATTAGGTTAGGCAAAACCACAATTGATTGAAGAAATTTAACAAGAAACTACATTTTCTTTGTTTGGAGAACAGAGTTAACAAAAGAAACAACATCGTCGTACTAATCAAGAGAAAAAGCGCGCGCGGGGGATAATTACCTCTTGCAACCTCTAATATAGTAGTCTTACTTAACTATTGAGTTGTGACATAAATTGTCCAACACCATGTTAAATCTTCACCCTATTATCTATCATAAATTATTCAATATCATGTTAAATATTCACATTATGAACTCAAACATACAATTTTAATAAGCCCCTCCGAAAACCTGCTGAATCAGACTGAGCACAACGCCAATGGAGCATATGTTCAATGTTTGCAAGAATCAAACCTAGCGCAAAGGCAATTGATCATATGCTCAATGGCTTCAATTGACTCGATAACACAAAATATAGATATATGTGTGAAAACCTGATAAAAATTCATAAATATTAAATTTGAACCCATAATTTCAAGAAATACAATGCGTTCACAGCTAATAAGCTAGTGTGCTAGTCTACTACCGCAAAGTGATATACAATATGCATACCTGTTGGAAGGTGTTGAGAGAAGCTAAAATTGATCCTCCAATCCAGACTCTGTTCTTCCTTTCAGGGGGTGCCACCACCTTGATCTTCATGCTACTGGGAGCTGCAAGGTGGTAATTTCCTTGCTCAACGATCAGTGATATCCAGAAATGTAGTTCCTTCACCACTGAGGACAATGTTATCATAAAAATCCTTCCTAAGATCTGCATCACACTTCATGATGGAATCGTAAGACATCTGATGCCAGCGGCTTCAATTCCAACCAGTGATGGCTGGAATAAGACATCTGAGCATCTAATCCTCTCTGCTCCAACAGTATACACCAGGCCATCTGGCAACTGATATGGATATCTTCTCTCACCAGCCGAGATACTCTCTTCACTCCAACTCTTGCTTATAGAGAAGAGCACGACAATATAGTTTATCTTTTACCTTATGATGACAAAAGTTGAATCGAAGGATTGCACGTGGAAGGGAAAACCCTTCATAGATTGGAATTGCATGTGTGAGAAAGATCACAAGAATCCATTACAATACCTATTGAGAGAACAAATATAGTGTAAGATGAATAGAAAATTCTACAAGAAGTACAAAGATACAAGAGTTAAAAGTTGATATTTGGAAGTTATAATACATTCTTGTCAATCATTCCCTAAAGCATAAAAGAACAAGCTTTACATCCATTAGACAAGATAATAAAAACCAAGTTAGCAACAAAAGACAAAACTTAAAATGAGCCAAGACCACTAGCTTCTTCATCTCAGAGTTATATGAATTTAATATAAAATAACTTCCAATAATCACCTTATTTAACCCATCAAAATCTGATTTTATAGTAAGGGTAGGACTTGTTTCTCACCTGTCATTCGGCCACTGGGATAAATAGACAAGACAGCCTGAATAGCAACGTACATGGAAGGCACGTTGAAAGTTTCAAACATGATTTGGATCATTTTCTTTCTATTAGCCTTAGGATTCAAAGGTGCTTCAGAGAGCAGCACAGGGTGCTGTTGATTGACACCTAGCTCATTTTAAAAGATGTGATACCAGATCTTCTCCGTATCATCCCAGTTGCTTACTATTCCATCCTAAGTTGGGTATTTCAAGGTGAGGATACCCCTCCTTGAGTTGGCTGCATCACCAACATAAAATTCCAAATGATCCATAAAACTAGAAATTAAGTTTCTACGACCACGACTTTAACAAGATGAACATATATATATATATATATTAATATCAAGTTGTTCCTCAATAATCTGTTCATATTTAGAATCAGAAACATCAAATTATCAGAGTTATATTCACTTTCATTATTAACAGTTCAAAAACAAAGGGGATATTAAACATTTCTTTGGATAGATTAGAGCAAAAAGGAAAAGGGCTTTAGCTTATGCACTAACTTTAATCATTGTAGTCCCATTCTCACATACAAGGGGCTGAAGGTGTTCTAAGTTGGCCATCTTTTAATACCTAGCAGAAGGTAAAACAGAAAATGTTGAAAAAATTATGGAGAAAATGAATAGCAACAAAGTTTAAAATTAAGATTTCAAGATACCAGCAAATATATTTGCCCCCAAAAAATCCTTCTTTTCTTGGGAACCTACATCCTTTTCAGTAAGGACTATCAATGGTTTTTGCCTTTCCCTTCGATAACTCAAATTCTCGAGATGAAAATGGATGCTCTTAACAGTGGAGCAACCTCTGTCGTATCCCACACAAAGTTTGCTAGGTTTTAGGCAATATGATTCCACGATAAAAAGAAACTTTATGAATTCTGCAACTAATCAATACTGAAGAAATTCTAGTGCTTCTCTCATTCTAAATTTTGAAATTCGTTGTAGTACTTGTGAAGGATAAGCATCGCGACTTTACATGATTGGTCATTTGGTCTACTAGTTATAGACCAATAAAGACATGTTTTCATGTAATTGTGTCTTTGCTAGGGGTTGTGTGCATACTTCTATGAAATGTCACGTACTTACAAATGATAAGGTTCTATGGGAGAATGTAACCTTCCAATATGACATGAGATCAACTATTATATTGTTATTCAGGTTTATCCAACCAAAAGTCACCTACAGTAAAATGGTTGGGAAATTTGTAAACTATCATAGTAACAATCATGCACTTATTTGCAAAATTCTCAGATATTAAAGTAAATCACATAGTCATGTGTATGGAGAGCTATCATCAGATTCAAACCTTCCATTTAATGTAGACATTTGAAAGTCACAACACATTCATATATATGTGACTAATCACTATCAAATTAAAACTGGAAACACCACGCACACAACCTTATCTTAGGCATAAAACTATTAAGTAGGTAGTTATTTAGGTTTATCCAACCAAAAGAAAGTCAGTAAGACGAGAATAATTGTAAAACTTTCAAAGTCCCAACATAGATATAAGCTAGTCATGGTTTTGACACCGCATTGATGCTTTATCAATGAATCTTTTTTATTTACTAAAAAAACTACTCTTAGCAAAATAAAATTCTTTTTCTTAACAACGGTTGTACCCGGGACAGCTCGGTGCATCTTGACTAAAGTACCAGGTACCTATTACCTCTCACTAGTAGAGGTACCGGATTACTCTGTTCACCATGACTTAGACAAACCAGAAAACATCTAGCATTTTTTACGAATTGATATAATAAAATAGTTAGTACCCCTAATTCGACATGAGTGGGTTGCTCTAGCGGTGAGCACCCTCCACTTCCAACCAAGAGGCTGTGAGTTCGAGTCACCCCAAGAGCAAGGTGGGGAGTTCTTGGAGGGAGGGAGCCGAGGGTCTATTGGAAACAGCCTCTCTACCCTAGGGTAGGGGTAAGGTATGCGTACACACTACCATCCTCAGACCCCACTAGTGGGATTATAGTGGGTTGTTGTTGTTGTTGTTAGTACCCCTAATTCCAAGTATAGTTGACAGAGATCAATACCATAATCAACTATTTTACCGTTACCATTCTCAAAAAAGAATCACCATGATCAACTATTTTGTTCCGCAAG